TAGGATCCACCTCTGCTGATTTTTATTGTAATATTATGTTCTCTGTCCCTTTCGAGCGCAAAGTGCAAAATAAAGTATTCGTATCCTATACAATATATCGTATCATATATGAGTAATGTGGATAAGAATATAGTCTATATAGTATGTAAAACGGTATATTCATTGTTTGAGAACCGTGAAGTTCAGAACATTTAAGCACACCAGCAATACTTGTCGTTGAAACAAATGTACAACTGGAGATCCTCAGATAAATAAAATGTCAATTTTATGTATTTCCATTATTTCTCATTTTATTTTATTTTTTTTTAATTTATCTATTATCATTATTTTTTGAGGTAGGTATTGTTATTGTAATCAGGAAAAAATTAAAGCAAATTATTGTAATTTCTTTATTTGATATATTTTCTTTATTCATGCATGATTCATTGTAATTAATATGTTCCTTGTGGGTGCTGTGATTAGCAAATAGAGTATCTGTATCTGTATGACGAGTTTGACTATATTTTAATATTGAAACATCCGATTGCAAGATAGGAAGAAAATTAATTCTTATAAACAGAAAAAAGGATGTAACTGTCATTGATTATCGAGTCAAAAGTTTTATTTAATTTCAATGTGCCCATTCACAGATAAGATGATTTAATCATTAGCTCTGAAGAACTTTTGATGAATCGACTCTGTGACTACTCTAAATCATAAAGTAGTCTCAGATCGACTACATATAACAAAGACATTACAATCATAGACGTATACATTAAACCCAGTTTAACGAGTATATACATCTATGTTACAATATAAGACAAAACAACTAATACACATACATAACAGACCAATAATACACACTTACAAAACATGAGATACTACACATGCATCATGTGCATGGTAAAGGAAATTTACAAATTCGTAAAATCTGAAGACCCTCGTAAAATCTGAAGACCCATTGGTGGCCTTGTGCTGTTTTTTGCTCTTTGGTTGGGTTGCTGTCTCTTTTACACATTCCCCGTTTCCATTCTCTATTCTTTAAACAAACAAAAAAGCACATTAATGCAGTAAACAGATAAGAAAAGCAAGCAACATAATATCACAAAATTAAAGCATAAATACAGTGCTGTCAAGTCTCACGCAATGTGTGTGAGACTCACACATTTTCATACTTATTTGGCAGCATTTTCCTTTGATCTATTGTTTTTTTTCTCTTCGTTTCTTTACAATTTTTGCAACATCAAACGCATTTGCTTCTTGCAAACTTGACAGCCCTGATAAATATACACTTAATATCACCCCCAGTTTTTGGTGGGGTTCGTGTTGCTTAGTCTTTACAGTTGTCTATGTTATGTTTTGTGTACTATTGTTTGTCTGTTTGTCTTTATATTTTTTGCCATGGCGTTGTCAGTTTATTTTCGATTTATGAGTTTGAATGTCCCTCTGGTATCGTTCGACCCTCTTTTAATGTAGTATTAATTCAAATCAGCATATTAGTGTTCATTTTATGCTTAATTTGGTAAATTGTACCAAATTTGTCTCAAGTCTGAAATTATTTTGTATGTCATTAAAGGACTTAGAAGCATACTATATAAAAGAATGAAAACTTAACTATATCTTGCAGTCATAAAAAACAAAAGGTATGTCTGCTGTTTGTGCAACATAAGATAATGTCTCTCAAGAAAAACTTTCCTTCAGACAAAATTTCATACAGACAATTGTCCGCAAACATTATTTTATATTGAAATACTGTGAAATAGTGTCCAGGACAATATTTCTTTATGGAATAGTTAAGTGCTCTTCTCTGTGAAATTTTGCCCGATTGGTCGGAAGACTATTTCACTAAAATACTTTCCGCGATTATATTTTACTGTGCCATTGGCTTACTGTCCATGACAACATTTTGCTGTGGAATACTGTCCATGACAATATTTCCTAATCAATTTTAAATGTCCATGAGGACTTCTTTGCCTTGAAATTGTGACAGTATTTCTGTATTCTTTGAAATATGGTCCGTGAAAAGTATGTATACTATATATAACCATGAAAACAGCATAAAAAATTCATGTCTGTTGTACACAAAAAAAATTTTTTTTAATTTATAACTGAAAATATTTTGTAAGACTAGTATTTTATCTATCAAACAAACATATTTTTTAATTGTGCCTGTTAGTTATAATCAATTAGATAAAACACTGTAAACTGTAATGATTATCATTGTCCAAAAATATAATTTTCTATAACCTCCCTTTAAAGAGACAAAATTTCATAGCAATTAATTTAGGAAAATTGTCTCGATCAAGACAAAATAATAACTATGATTAACATCCCTTTAACACTTCGAAATTTCATTACTATAAAACTATGAAATATTTTCAATATATGTACCAAATTTTATATGGAAAATTGTTCTTCTCTGGACATTATTTCATAGACAGCAGACTATGTAAAATTAATAATACATGGGGAAATTTTTAATTAACAATTCTAACAGTTTCTGAAGCTTATGTAATGTATTCTTACTTTCAATGGAGGCAATTTGGATTTTTTAACAGTTCTGTATAGGATAAGTTCTCTTATGGTTGTGGCCTGTAATCTATTTCTCGCATGAAGAGATATTACTTGCACTAGTGTGATACGAAAAAGTGATACAAAAAATGTGTTAATCACAGGCACTTGTCTCCGAATTTTTTTTCCCAATATACTTTAATATAACACAGGCACTTGTCTCTGAATTTTTTTTTCCGATATACCTTAATATAACACAAGGTACTTAACTCGCATTTTTGAAAAATGTCACCCGGCGGCGAAATTCCGTTATATTTCGATTTCTCGGTTGTCAACCCCACTAAAACTTGTTATTCCGTGAATCTAAATTGATTTATCTACGCAATGGTGTATAACACGTCTACAACAACACTCGATTGGAAATATAAGACTCGCAGTAAAAGGTATCTTTCCACTCTCTTCATATATCTCGGTTTCCGATTGGTCAAATTTTATGGGAAGGTCTATTAATAAAACTAAATGTTTCTCGGAGTTATCTGATCTTATCTCATTTCATATGTAAAGTCCAGAGAGAGTCTGAATGACATTGATGGAATGGGAAAATTTGAGTCTAAAAATAGAAAATCGTAACTCATTAGACATACCTCAAATAACACTTGTTGGATTTTTTTCACGCAATCTTTTACAAATTTACTATCTGGATGATAAGTTCTTTTCAGACAAAAACTAACAGGTTTTTTTTAAATACTTTTTATAATTAATCATTTACTGCGAGTCTTATATTTCCAATCGAGTGTTGGTAGACGAAATAATTACGGTTGACATACTTGGGTAGGCCTGCTACGAATGATTCCGAAAACAAAGGTAGGCGTGTTATACACCATTGTGTAGATAAATCAATTCAGATTTACGACATAACAAGTTTTAGTGGGGTTGACAACCCAGAAATCGAAATATAACGGAATTTCGTGACCGGGTGACATTTTAAAAAAATGCGAGTTAAGTACCTTGTGTTATATTAAGGTATATCGGAAAAAAAATTCCGAGACATGATGAAACTATATTGCAACATTTCCATTGGCTATTTGTTAGGTCATTGATGACTTTCAAAGTTAAAAACGATGTACGTTTCCTCCATGGCAACAGCGATATGTGATTTCTTCAATAAAATACAAAGTACTTACACATGTCACCTGAAAATTTTATTTTTAAAACTTTATTACATTCCAAAGCGTACAAAAAGATGTAAAATGTCTTGTGTTAAAGTTTGAAGTTAGAACAGGACATATGACGCCATACTGGTATGTACAAAAGACTAGTTTAGTTGCAGACTTCTCTTTTTAGCTCAAAGAGAATGTTTACCATAAGTGAAATAGGTTTAACAATTCTTAAGAATTGGATTTCACAAGATATCAATGCTTGTTATTTAATTTAAATAGTAATAATAAACTTTCCGACGACTCTTTTACTATTATATTGAAATTTATTAACACAATTTGATATCAAGCGATATCGAATTCTCACTCATTAGGAAACCGATTGTTATAATCATTATAAATAAATCTTCGAGCTTGTTCAGCTCTTGTATTTTCTCTATCTTAGCTGTATTTTTTCTCACTGCAGAAGTGCTATGTCATTGACAATGCTTAAAATTTGACAATATTAACAAACATTAAACCGTATATTGTTCTATGAATATATACTAAGAAGCGACTTAGTTTTAATGTGCTCCCAAAGGATCGGTTGAGAACAAAACTTTACAACAAAAAAAGATAATTTCAGCTTCCCAACTTTATTTTTCCATTTATATGTAGCAACATTCCAGCGCGCAGCGCCTGCATAAGGAGTTTTTATCTCCAAGTTGATACGATATTTCAAAGATTGCCTTTTCTGTCATGATTTCCTTGATAGAAGACTGCTTCTCATAAGGAAGCTATCAAATAAAGGTTCCAATTGGTGAAGTTGATGTCATCTCTTCAAAAAATTTCGGACACTAAACAAGTTGGTTGACTATGATGCGTGACTTTCGTGAAAAAGAGGACAGGATTGTGGTTACGACGATTGGAACATTTCCCTCGTCATCTCTGAAACAGATGTTGCATAAACGAATGTGTTCTTACATGAGCAACACGATGGATTCCACATATGGAGCAGGATCTGCTGATACTTACCCTTGAGAAGCACATGAGATCACCCCAGGTAGGGATTGAAAAAAAGTTCGTCCATTTGGATATCAAAAACGGGAATGCATGACAAATGATGAAACCGATATCCTCATCTTTCCAGTGGACGAGTCTACTTCGTTTTTGACACGGATTTGGTAAAGTCGACGTGTTTGCATATTTCACATGTTTTCGAGCTTGAAGATCATTATTCACCATATGTTTCTTGAAAGTTGATAAACATTAAAGCAACGTGGAGCTGTTTTTTCTTGTTCGTGAAATGACGATTTAATTTCATGTTTGTCCGTGAGGATATCGGTTTCATCGAATGTTATCTTTGTTTTTCAGATTTTTATATCAAGTATTTCAGCTGAACATGCTGAAATAACATTAGCAGAAACTGAATCCAAAAACAGAGGTGAGTTTTTACGGTTATGATAGTAACACAGAAAATACAATCAAATGAAAAACAAATTTAAAGTATCCTTCATAACAGACAGTTTTTATGAAACATTAATTGATATATTATTATCCAATTGTTATAGATGGTTTCTTTTAATTGTTCATATACAGAAGGCAGTGGTAGTATTCAGGTCTGTGGTCATATCTTGGTCTGTAAAATTGATACATCAAGATGGTACTAATATTGAGGCAAATGATCCAAATTGATAACTGGCATACAATGGAGATATTCATGTTTGTTATACCTTCATTACATTTTCTCATTATAACCATATTACTATAAAAACCTAAATATTTTAACTGTTTTTACAGTTTTTGAAACACTCTTGAAAATGATCTGTTTTTCTGGGCAAAAGATTTTTGACTGTTGACCGATTCTGATCTGTTGATGGTCTCATAAAGTTATATATATAGCACGCCTTTTACGAATTAACGTATTTAATTTACGAAAAGCGTAACTTTGAGTTGATTAAATATGTTAATGAGTAAGGCGTGGCTATAAATGATTTGTAACATTAATCAGTGGGATATCCAGTGAACGAAAACAAAAGAAAATTCACTCTTCTTATGATAAAGTCGAGAAAGTCAATAATAAAACAATACCGGTGACGATACTGATCAAAAGTTATTTCTGAATAATAATTGTACATTATAAAGAAACTATTTGTTTAACTGTGTTATTAGAAATATACATGCAAATACACGATGTTTTATGTTCAGTATTAATCGAGATAATTGCTTTAGAAGCTTGTGAAACTGAAATTTAAAAACTGCCAATCTTTGCTGCATATTGAAAAAAAAATGTAAAAAATCATGTGCATACAAAATCTAAAGATCTTTCGGGTCACCAATTTTCTGAGTGTTCCAAAAAGTCCTTAGCATGTAACAATTTCCCAAAGTATGCTTATTTTTTCACTCCTAAGTTATCGAGCACACCGGTCTGCTCTTGTCACATGTACATTCAATAGAGAACTATTGTCTTTTCGTGAATATAAACATTTAAAAGTCTGTCAGTGCAGGTTAAAAAAATAAAGATAACTATTTTTATAAAGTAGGTATCTTTCTACTATTTTGTATACAATTTTAAGAAAAGGTCTTCTCGAGTTTTGTACAAGTTTTTGCGGTCTTCTCGATCTATTCGCATTCAATGTTTACATCAAGATAAAGTCTGTTTGATTTTGCATAGTAACTTAATTTCAAAAGTGCCAATCTTTGTTGCATATCAATCGATTCCTTTGGAATTTTTTCCCTGACTTTCTCTGATCTAGCTGTATATATATACGAATAATGAGGTATACAGACAGTAAAAAAATAAATTTAAGTTGGTACTCCAGGAATTTATTCGTATAGCAACATTTTAAACCAATTTTACTCCAAGCATCTATAGCCTGCTGTACTCGTCGTTGGCTACTTAAGGAGGAAAATGATAACATTGAGTGGAAGTTTTGTTTTTATTTCAATTTATTTCTATTTTTGTTATTTACCATAATTGATAGCGTCTTTGCTAAAATGGGACAAACATTGAGAAGATATAGTTTTCAGTGTTTACAGGGGAGGTAATATTTTGTCACTAGATTTCCCACTGTAATGGAATATCACACATGTCAAAGGTTAAATGCTGACCAATAAAACTTTATTGTACTTTTCAATATGTCAATCAAATAGTGGCATGATACTATATCTGATTTCCAGAAAATAAGCACATGCAGCAGATGTCAGTTGGATTTGTATGTCAGATACAGGTACATTTAAATGAATTGTTGGCGTGGGATTCAGGCTCGATAGCCATTTACGTGTTATTGAAAAAAATTTTCTCCCCGAAAACTCATGAAAAGGGGGGAAGGGGTGATGCAAAATTTTATTCGATATTTATCTGCCCTCTAACTCGAAAATGACGTGTAGTTTCAAAGGAGTTTTAACATTGTGATAAGAAGGAAACATTTTATAATACTAATTGTGAAGGTAATTAATACTATTCTGCCATTCCCAAGAACTGGACAAAGATCGGTTAATTGATTGCAATGGTTGCATGTTGAATGCGTGTAATGTCCAGGGACAAATATTTGAAGCATGATCAATTCACAAAGATAGACCTTTATAAAATGAAGAAAATTACTAAACGTCCAGTGACATATATTTTTTAGAATATTATTAATTATGACACGATAAAAACAGGTATCCAACCAAAATAACAGTAGGAAAATTTATAGTCATTTCTTTTACATTTTGTTTTATTCTTTCATTAAGTGGAGGAAATTAAACGACTTAAATTCCAGTGACAATTTTTTTGGAATATTTATATTGTCACGATAAAAACAAGTATCGACCAATTTTTCAATATCGCCTCTCCGTTTATAGACCACGTTATTCTTTTTTGTAGCTCTCCTTGAGCATTCATTTGATGCAAGAAAAATGTATAGGAAACCATTTTTAATTGAGGGTTTACAAGTTTGGCTAGTGTTAGGGTAAGTCCCCTCACCCCCGGCCATCGGGGTGATCTTACACTGACACACCGCGTCCTCATGGGATAACTATTACAAAATGTTTCTTTTGTCCCAGATTTTGTTCTGCCCTAAAGCTCTATGTGCCAAGAAAAAAAAGTTTTATTTCAACATTATTCAATTTCTTTTCAATAAAATTTCTTTCAATTTGACTATTATTCATCCATCCTTGAATATTTTTTTATTCATCAGACAATCTTTTGTTTTCTTCTTTTTTTTTCACTTTTGAATTATGAACTGCAACATAGGAAGAAAATAACTGTTGACTTTGGAACGCCATAACTGCCTTATGTTGATGATCATCATTATATGCAGTAGTCACAGCATTATATGCAGCCGTGACAGCATTATATGCAGTGGTCACAACATTATATGCAGTGGTTACAACATTATATGCAGTGGTCACAACATTATATGCAGTCGTGACAGCATTATATGCAGTTGTCGGAACATTATGTGCAGTGTTCACAACATTATACGTGTTTTGTTGATTAAGGTGATGATCAGTGATGTTGATGATAGTGATGGTGGTGGTTAAGTTTCGGTAAACTTCGTAAATTTTTTATCGGAAATTGCCGAATCCAGTCATAATTGATAATGCTCCCGCAAGCAAAATGAAACAGTTATTGAAGTCATGTAATATAGGCAATTTGATTCAAAACTTTATCGGCATTTTCTTAAATTAAAATATATAAATATAGGTATTGATTTTATTAACGTATCTAGTATATTCAATGACCCTACCATCCATAGTCAAATACCTCCATATTTTGATAATACAGAACCACCTATTATTTCGTATTCTTATAAAAAAAACGAGCAGAAGATTGATTTTTAATTATACGTCAGTTACAACAGACGTCAATATAGAAAATAATGCTCCTTCCACTTGAGACTGTGAAACATCTAGTTTTATGTTCATGTCATTACAGGAGACCCCAACATCGTCGAAGACCGTGAGGTCAAAACTTATCTTAAAAAAGGACCTAAATATCGTCCTCCATCTATAATAGATTGGAAACAGTGTCGTCAGGTCATTAAAGACGCTTTGTCTGCCTACTGTAAAAATTGGTGTAAACGTGAAAAATCTGATAAAAAATCTCTAGACAGTTATTTGAATAAAATTATGAATACTGTTGATATTCGAATATCTCATTTTGAAAACAATTCTGAAATTAATAATAGGGTCCATGCTATAACCATTTCTAGAATAAAAAATAAACTCCAAGTACTCGTAAAGCGGTTGATGTGTTCGTACCGGCAGACAAAGCAGCCAATAATGTAGTGGTGGTGTGACGCATATACTACACGGAAGGTCTCCAAAATGAAATTATCAATTCGTCTACATTCAGGTCCGTACGCTCCACAGAGAGTCAAATTGTAAACAAGCATATCACTGTCACTACCTAGCTTAAATCCTCTTCCGAACATTTGAAACATTTGAACATTTGAAAGTCCCGACTATGTACTGGTTACCTAAATTACACAAACAACCATTTAAATTCCGCTTAATCTCAGATAACGAAAAATATTCAGATATGAAATTTTCAACTTCTGACAAGGATCTTAACATGGGATATGGAAAACATTTTGTTAGCAAAAATAAATGAAATCCCCAGACTATAGCAAAAAGACAAGCTTGTATGTGAGAAGAATTAGAAGGCCAATAATAACAACGAGTAGAATTCACAGTAAAACAATAGTTCTCCATTAAGAGACATATTAACGAGTGGCGAGTTTGTTTTTTTTTGTGTTGAGGTAACAAAATTTTTGTGCGGACCTTCATTAAAATCAAAGAAGTGATCAGTAACAAATATTATTCCTCTTTTACTTGTTGTTGCTTTCATCTGGACCTTAACAAAAATTTTAATAAGAATTATTCATGTGTAAAATATAGGTCGAGGTGACCAACTTTTTTTTCAAGGTCCTTTGTTGTTATCAAAGATGTGCGATCTAAAAGATAGCATTCCTCTATGACTTGTAGTTGATTAGATTTTGTATCTTTATGCAAAACTTAACCAGAATTAAATTAGGTTGAGGTGACCCATTTTTTCATGGACATTCGTTACTATCCAAGATGTGCGCACTTATTCAATTATTTTTTTATTCATCAGACAATCTTTTGTTTTCTTCTTTTTTTCACTTTTGAATTATGAACTGCAACATAGAAAGAAAATAACTGTTGACTTTGGAACGCCATGACTGCCTTATGTTGATGATCATCATTATATGCAGTGGTCACAGCATTATATGCAGCCGTGACAGCATTATATGCAGTGGTCTCAACATTATATGCAGTCGTGAAAGCATTATATGCAGTTGTCGGAACATTATATGTAGTGGTCACAACATTATACGTGTTTTGTTGATGAAGGTGATGATCAGTGATATTGATGATGATCATTGATGATAGTGATGGTGGTGGTTCAGATTCGGTAAACTTCGTAAATTTTTT